TTTACCCTGACCACATTTATTTATTCACTATTATTAGCTCATAGATTCTGATTCTGAATCTTAGCTAACTACTCCATAATATTCTTATTATTTGGTCAATAATTTATTTACACCATTTGATTATTTTTTTTAATTTTAAAGAGTGCATTATACAAGTATAGTGTAATGGACTGCAATCACTGCCGTTGGCGACAAATTATAGTTACAAATATCTAATTTTATGTTACAAAAATATCTACGATCGATCTTTTGAGGGATCAATTTGATAGAAACCAATGTAATCAATTTTTGGTGGCATATTTTTAATTAACGCATAGATGAATATACGCACGGTAATGGTGGAGAAATATGCTATTGTATGATTTACTCTGTATTTAATTGGTATAGATATGCTTAGTTAACACATATTGATGATGAATGCAATATCTTGCAAAATTTATACAATACATTCACTATCAATTATTGCAGCCTATAGAAAAACGTTTATCACATTTACATGTATATATGATATGGAAAATCAATACTGTAGTAATCATACACTTTGTAAAAGAACAAGTTAGCTTACACAAATATACTCATCCAAGATAAACTTTCGTGATTAAATTAATAATACTCCGAGTATAAATAAATGATGTTCTTCATATATTGTATAAAATATTGTAAATGAGACTAACATTAAGGCCGAAGAAAGTAGGACTCTCTCTAGCTAAAAAGGTAAAACCAAACAGAAAACAATAGCACAGGCTAATAATTGAGCATTATTAGAGATTAGAGCAGTGAATGGTGATAAAATGATTGATGAAGGTTCCTTGATCATTCCGCTAAGGGTAGATTTATTTTTCTAGACAAATTATTAAATATCAAAATACTTCATACTCATAGCATAGTTAAAAAATTAGTGGTCAAGTGTAATGTACGGATTATTAGATTATAGTATAAACAATTTTCCTAACTTTTAGTTACAGTAGTACATTGTTTTTCCTTTTTGAGAGAAGCCCCCAACATGGTACTTGTAGCCTTGTAGGCAGCTAACCATGCATTTTTTAAATTCATTTTAATTATTGATTGACTTATGTGAATATCGTAAAATTAAACAATGAGAAAAGTTTAACAAGATTTCATTAATTGGCTACGGTTTCCTCATAGTTCAAGTTCCTCAAATGCATGCATGAAATATTCCAACTATAAATGACTTACAGCAATTGAGGGAATACAACATAATTGGGAAAATCTCTAGCCCAAAAATACTAAGGGCATGTGCAGTGAAATTTTTGCAAGTAGATTTGAAAGTTTTGAATCTGTACTTAATATCATATCAAGTAATCTACTTCGTATCTAATAACAAACGCCTCATCAAAATTGAAAAAAAAAAAAAAAAAAAAACCGCATATACAATTATACGGAGTACTAGATATAGCAATTAGAAATTTTATAATGAGGTGCAACAAGAGATAATAATATAATGTTCTTGTCAAAAATATAATGTTGATGTTTTAACATTTAAGCAAACTTATAGGTATGCTATTCACAAAAATATGTACACCTATCATATACAATAATTTACGTAATAGTTGGTGAATTGAATCTTCGCCTATCAATTACGGAGCATATATCAATGTCTTAATTTGATAAATGGATAAATTAGATGGAATTGTATGAAATTTGACATGCATATGGAACGTGCGCCCTGCTTATTTTAATTACAAAATTTCGTTTACTGAATCTCATTAATACGAGTACTTAACAGCCTTTCTGATATTAATTGATGTGGGCAGCCAATAAATAATCCACTTGCAATTTATTTACCATTTCAACTCCTTTTTATTTTTATTTTTTGGAAGACAAATATCAAGTACGTTCACTATCATTTTGCCCTTTTATAGTTTTATCGTTAGTTGATACTTTCCTATTAGAGCTAAATTGGACTAGTATCTAAACACAGTATATCTTCTCCAAAGCATGAGGCACGATAACCGGAAAGTGACCTGGGATATGGCTAGGATTGGATCGTATTATGAGTTTGAAACGTTGAAATGAGAAAATGCCTATTGCTTTTTTATTATTAATTAGTGAGTAAATAAGTAGTAATATTAGAAGATTATTCCTTTGATATTTGTACTTAGATTTGAGCACAAGCAAACCATAAGATGATACACGTAATAAACATATATATATATATATACATATACATATATATATATATATATATATATATATATATATATATATATATATATATATATATATATATATATATATATATACTTTATTTGTATCCATATTATGTGAGTTAGTAAGGTGAACACTCACTTGGAATTCGAGAGACTTGGCCAACTGAGCCAAGCCTCCTTCTCATATTATGTGAGTTAGTTAGTTCACATTAAATACCGAAGATATAAAATAACCACCACCTAAAGGACTTTGGGCTAATTGTAATTAAGTGGATGTGTGCATCAATGCATGCATGCTTTGAACTGAACCACATAATATGACACCTTGTTCATTGTAACAGGACTTTGTGGAGTTGTGGATTTATGAAGGTTAATTATATTTTTAGCCCCCTTATTTTAATTTTCTGGTCAAAGATCCGTCACTAAACATATTAAATGTGACTTATGATGCCCACATTAAGAATAGTAGTACTAATATAAGATCGGTAATATTCCAAATATTTTTACGGCTTTAACAATAATACGGAGTACTACAAGAATTTAATGGACCTAATTCAAGCAATACATAAATACGAAGTACAAAATTGGTAGGAACAAGAAAACGCACTAAGATATAAACAAATGAAACAAGTCAATGCAAACCACTAAACCAGAGACAAGAGGCGCCCCCAAGTAATAAGTTGCTTCACGAAATCAAGAAATTAATTGAAGCAAACTTAATTTAGCTTAATAAAAGTAAATAGTGTATGTAGTTTGTAATACTTTTGAAATTACAATTAAAGCTAAGTGTACGTGTGGTGTATGTGCTGGCCTTCTTTTTACGTAAAGAGGAAAGAAAATGGAAGCTAATTAATAAAGGAATTGTCAATCACAAAGTTTTATATGTGACTGGTCACACTGTGTGGTCGAAGTTACTTATTCAGGGGAAACTCGGTCAGTCAGGGATTACTTGGTCAAAGGTTAACTCGATCGGTTAAGGATTACTCGGTCAGGGGTTACTTGATCGGTCAGGGGTTACTCAGTCGGTCAGGGGTTATTCGGTCAAAGGTTACTCGGTTAAGGGTTACTCAGTCAGTTACTCGTTCGGGGGTTATTCGATTAGTGTTTTGGTGTGTGTCAATCGACCACACAGAAAACGGGCTGATTATCAATTAAGTTAACAACAGGGAGAGGTAGATCGAACGAAGGGCAGTTAATGTCTGGGCTGATTAGTCATTTTAGCTTCACTTTTTATACATCTAAAGTTTGAATGTCTGCTCGTATAATATGCACGTTTTTTTCTTTTTAACCTTTTTTTTAGGGTTATTTTTACAAGTCAAAACAACGTGACATAACAGCATACCGCAGCTGGTTTAATTTGTATGTAAGTAGGTACGTAAGTGCGTTTATATTTATGTATGGGACCACGACAGAAGCTGCCCCATGCAACCTTCAATTACATACAAACTCTACACTCAAGCTGTTCATCATATGACCTTAATATAATTTAATTACTTCAAATTTTTTAATGTATTGCTGATCCTCTGTTGACACCACTTTTAATTAGTTGCTTTGATTAAATTAATCACTACTTCAAAGCGTGTGTCTTATTACCTTGAATTGGAGTCAATCACAATAATGAAGAATGATTATTTGGTAAATGCAATACTTCTCAGTTTTCATCTATGTTGTATACTTGTATAGCAACGGATACTCGTACATATATTAGTCAATGATGTGTCAGAAGCGAGTACACTGAATAGCAAGACTAGCTTCATAAGAAGGGTTCGCATTTAGCTTAAGATTTTGCTTGCCGAAACTTACATTTAGCCATTTTATTCTCCTATTCAAATCAAACCAAAAATAGGCAAGTATGTACAGATCAATATACCTTAACTTTATTCTACTCAATTTGTTTTAAATTAATTGCACCATTTGATCCATTATTTGTGTCTCAATTTCTTCTAAGAGGTAGACCTACAATAAAATCTCGGGCATTGCATTCAGCAAGGCTCTTGGCAAAGATCACCAATATAATAACACGCACCATAAGATAATTATACCTTGAATTCATACTATTGTTTGCAAATGCTCCCCACCCCTCCCCCTCTATATATACGAAGTACGCTTGGAATATTTTAACTCTACTAATTTTTCATGCCTAGAAAAGCTCAACTAATTTCTAAAATTAGGCTCGGCCTTTTTATTTTTATTTAGTTATTTTTATTTTACCACTTATATGCCTTTTCATGCATGCATGTATATTTCAATCAAGCATTTATTTTATGATTGTTAAAATTTATAATAAGGATTACCAAAATTAACATCTACTAATTTGTTTCGATCTCCCTTACTCTAAACTAATATCATGTGACATATAACCAATGAGCTCAACCGAAAATAGTCTACATTTAGGTAGTTTAGAACAGATGTGGTGATGGTCTAATTTAATACATTGAGTCTTTTGATTACAGTTTAGCTTAATTGAGTGAGACCAATCTGCATGTTGGTACATGTCAGATCAAGACCATTTTGATTAAAATTAATACTAAATTATCCATATGAGAACAACTAGAATAAATGTAATAAGTCGAATAATATAAGTCGAATCAATTTTATTGGATGTAAATGTTAAACGACTGAATTGACGGGTGAGTTTTTGGTATATCTCTTCTACTTAAATTTGAGACCATGAGTTGTAATTGGTTGCACTATGGCCATGAGTTGAGATTTTGTTGTAATATAGTGGGCTCACAATATAAAATTTGTAGTGTATGTGTTTTTTATAAAATATCATTAAATATCATGAATAGGAACCCCCTTCACCCCTATATATATACATGCACCCCAAAGCCCATTTCTTTTCCAGTGAAACACAAAACCATAAAAACATAGGTAAATTAGAATCAGCACAGAAAATACACAGGAAGACAATTAGTCTTCTTCTTCTTCTTCCTTTTTTTTTTTTTTTTCCATTTAAATTCCAAAAATCCCTACATTTTCTTCCTTTAAGCTATGGCGGCTTCTGTCGATCGCCAATATAATCCGGCGGCCATGAACGGCGTCGTTCGGTCCCCATTTACCACCCACCACCGTTCCGACTCACCGGTTCGGGGTTACAATTTTAATAGCTCTCCAAATTCTTTTAATAAACCTGCCGAAATAAAATTGATTGATAATAGTAATAATAGTGGTAGTAATAATCGCTATTATAGCGATAGTGAGGATGATGATGACGAAAATGAGATCAACGTCTGGAAAGAGTTGATCAAGAAAGGTAACAGCGAATTAGAGCCGTCTACCGTGGACACCCGCGATGAGGGGACGGCGGATCAATGGATTGAGAGGAATCCTTCAATGATCCGCCTTACAGGGAAGCACCCCTTCAATTCGGAGCCACCATTGACCCGTTTAATGCACCACGGGTTTCTTACCCCGGCTCCGCTTCATTACGTGCGGAACCATGGTCCGGTCCCCAACGCTAAGTGGGAGGACTGGACCATTGAGGTGACTGGGCTCGTGAAGCGCCCGGTCAAGCTCACAATGGACCAGTTGGTTAATGACTTCCAGAGCCGGGAGTTCCCTGTGTCACTAGTGTGCGCAGGGAATCGAAGGAAGGAACAAAACATGACCAAACAATCTATAGGGTTTAATTGGGGTTCAGCAGCCATATCGACCTCGGTATGGCGTGGTGTCCCACTCCGCGATGTGTTAAAGCGGTGTGGGATCATGAGTTGTATGAAAGGCGCCCTCAATGTATGTTTTGAGGGCGCCGAGGACCTTCCTGGAGGCGGAGGGTCAAAGTACGGGACTAGTGTCAAAAGAGAGTTTGCCATGGATCCTGCTCGTGACATTATCCTAGCCTACATGCAAAATGGTGAGAAACTTAGCCCCGATCACGGGTTTCCCGTTCGGATGATCATTCCCGGGTTCATTGGCGGGCGAATGGTGAAATGGTTGAAGAGGATTATTGTGACTACTGCGGAGTCAGATAATTACTACCATTACAAAGACAACAGAGTGCTTCCTTCTCATGTTGATGCTGAACTTGCAAATTCTGAAGGTACGTACTAATAGTCTAATATACTATACACATATTTTTTTTTTTTTTTTTTTATAATAATAATAATAATGTGATCTTATAGTATTCCATTCCATGTTTATCTAAATCTAATAAATGTGATAGGTGCAATAAATAGATCAAAAACTGATATATGTCATGGATGATGATGATGATAAAGTATCTATGTTTTCACTTGCGATTATTGTTTTGGAGTATTGCTAATAAATTGAAATTGCAGCATGGTGGTACAAACCGGAGTACATCATAAATGAGCTCAACGTTAACTCGGTTATAACAACACCTTGTCACGAGGAAATCTTGCCGATCAACGCGTGGACTACCCAGCGCCCTTACACAATCAGGGGTTACGCCTATTCTGGTATGTTTTTTAGCCTTTTCGCTTTGTTTCTCGTCTTGTTATTGTGTTACAAAAAAGTTTAGGATGTAACTTAAAATAGGTTGTCATCTTTTAACAACATAGTACACATTCTATAACACAAATGGTGATTATACTAATTTGGTGTGATGAAAGAGTGTCTGCCGAATAAGTAAATGTAAATATTGAATATCACTACATAATATTACAATATTATTGCTAAAAAAAGAAAAGTAAAAAGGATGGTATGTGATTATGTGAATGAAAATGACAGATTAAAATTGAGCTAGGGACTAAAGACACGTTATTAGAGCAGGGAATCCCCGGAAAAAAAAAACCAGGGGAGGAATCTAAAATGCCTCATTCAAAAAGTCAATTGCCACGACCTTGGAAGAAAGTTGATTGTATAAATTTGATTACGTCACTCTATCATTTGTATAACATAGTATTCAAATTAAAATAATAATCCTAGTTGTTTGAATAAAAGACTAATTGTAGTTGATTTGTTAATAGTATTATTTTGCCCTTTTAAAAGTACAAAAGTTATAAAATAAAAGTCAAGATTGTGATCTGTGCCTTTGTGGGACTAGGGGATTATGATATCCTCCAGTTGAGAAAATGGAATTGCTTGAGCTTTTTGGATTTTTTCGACCCTCCAAATACCACTAGCCGCTAATTGAAAGAGGTTGTAATAGTAATACAAAGTATTATTATTGCAATTTCGTCCCATCGAAAGGTCATGTACCTCTACTATGTTTAGGATCGTTGGTCTAAAACTAAATTATGTTTTTTACTTTGACTGTGTTACTTTTTCAATTTTTGAGATGTTCTAAATTTACCGTTATCGTAAAATTGGAATAGGAGGAGGAAGGAAGGTGACCCGAGTGGAAGTGACAATGGACGGAGGTGAAACATGGGAAGTATGTGAACTGGACCACCAGGAGAAGCCAAGCAAATATGGTAAATACTGGTGTTGGTGTTTCTGGTCGCTAGAGGTTGAAGTACTTGACTTGCTCGGAGCTAAAGAGATTTCAGTCCGTGCTTGGGATGAAAGTCTCAACACCCAACCCGAGAAGCTCATTTGGAATGTCATGGTAAAAACTCTATTCCAGTTCTAGTACTTTACCATTTTCTTATACTTGGCATGTTATTGGTTAAGTGGTCCGGATAATATTAAATAGATATAATTATTGGGACGCGCCTGATTAGTAACAGATATATAATAAGATGGTCATTAAGCTGTAAAATTTTCACATGAGATGGCAGTGATTGTTGGTAAGGTAGTCCTTAAAAAAATTGAGGGGCCTATAAAAAGAGCCTTTTCTTGTGCATGTTAAGTCAAAAAAGTGGCCTTTCCTAATTCCTACGGGTGAACTGTGAAGAGGGTTGATTTGTTTGCTTGTGTTTTTGGCCCTACCCTCTCTCTGTTGCGTAGCTAATACTCGTATCTTGATTCCTTCTCTGACCTTTCTGCTTCAACTTGTAAGTAAGTTGTAACATAGATAAACCTCATAAATTCTATTAAAAAAATATACTATTTGCATACTGTTATTAATTAGTAGTCCTCAGATAATAATAGAATATGCTATATGCATACTGGTATTAATTAGTTTAGTCCTCAGATTTTTACATTGTGTAACAACTAGTAGTCCACTTGTGAGCCAGCTGCATTTATGTAGAAATTTTTAACTGAGATGACACAGTATTGTGTTTTTTTAATCACTGATGATAAAATTAAACGAGTTTGGCCGAGAGTCTTATTGGCAGAGAGTTATATTCGCCGATTAAAAAACCTAATTCCTTTCTTTTCACTAGAGGGGTGAGAATGTGAGTGTAATAGTTTTTTTTTTTTTTTTTTTTTTTTACCACATTAGTATAAGAAGTATCTAATATATTTGAGCACCATCAATAATTGGTGGAGCCTCTCACACTTGATTCCAATCTCTTAATTAGCACTTCCGAAAGTGGTGGAAAATTTCGTACTTTTAGCCGACTAAGCCAAGAAGGAATTGGCTTCACATGTTAAAATAAACCAGTGGGCCGTCTCTCTTAATATCTTGATTATTACTAATTTGAAAGATTAAACAATATATTAAGTATTAAATAAATGGCTTGGCACATATTTAAAGGGGATGTATCTTTTCCTTTCATTTTCATCTTTTCATTCTCCTCCACCCTTTTCCTCTGCAAGTGGCGTAGGGTCAATATTATTCTTATAAAAATGGCTCCGTTACTTTAATTTAGCCGTTTTATGGCTTGAAAGTGATTAGTGAATAATAATCATAAGCTGAATAGTTTTAATTAGAAAATTTTGTCGTTATTCCTACTATTTGTGCTATAGCTGTAGAATATTGACTGGCATGTCACTTGATATATAAAAAAACATTGCATCTTTGACCTCTCCACCCTTTTTCCCCTCTAACCTTGGAATAAAGCGTACAATTATTTTAACTTTGATTGAATCTAATAATATTGCTAACAAACCTCTAAAATAATCAAGTTGTTAAAATCTTTGCATGACTTCACAAAATCATGTTCAATATGTATATTATTTTTATCTAATTGTTGTCCACTTTGGTACGTGAATGTAGGGAATGATGAACAACTGCTGGTTCCGAGTTAAGACTAATGTGTGCAAGCCTCACAAGGGAGAAATCGGTATCGTGTTCGAACACCCGACCCAACCCGGCAACAAGTCGGGCGGGTGGATGGCTAGGGAACGACATCTAGAGCTCTCTGATTCTGGACCTACACTGAAGAGGACAGCATCCACCCCATTTATGAACACAACCTCAAAAATGTACTCAATGTCTGAGGTGAAAAAACACAACTCAGCTGATTCAGCTTGGATTGTTGTCCACGGACACGTGTACGATGCCACCCGGTTCCTGAAGGATCACCCTGGTGGGTCAGACAGCATCCTGATCAATGCCGGAACCGACTGCACGGAGGAGTTCGATGCCATACATTCAGACAAAGCTAAGAGGCTCCTAGAGGACTTTAGAATAGGTGAATTGATCTCAACAGGTTATTCTTCTGACTCCTCCTCACCAGGTAACTCAATGCATGGTTCGACCAGCTACTCCAATTTGGCACCAATCACTGAAGCAGCCCCACTTAGGAACGTGGCATTGAACCCAAGGGTTAAGATATCATGCAAACTTATCGAGAAAGTTTCGCTTTCGCATGACGTAAGAAGGTTTCGGTTTGGGTTACCATCTCAGGACCAGGTGCTTGGATTACCTGTAGGCAAGCACATCTTTTTGTGTGCTAACGTGGAGGATAAGCTTTGTATGAGAGCCTACACCCCTTCTAGCACCGTGGATGAGATCGGGTACTTTGATTTAGTGGTCAAGATTTACTTCAAGGATCAACACCCGAGGTTCCCTAACGGTGGAGTCATGTCTCAGCATCTAGAATCCTTGGAGTTGGGCTCATTTGTTGAGGTGAAGGGTCCATTGGGCCACATTGAGTACCTCGGTAAGGGGAACTTCACGGTCCATGGAAAGGCCAAGTATGCAAAGAAGCTGGCGATGATTGCAGGCGGGACCGGTATAACTCCGATTTATCAGGTGATGCAGGCTATTCTGAAGGACCCCGAGGATGAGACTGAGATGCATGTTGTGTATGCTAATCGTGCAGAGGAGGACATATTGCTTCGAGAAGAGCTTGATAAATGGGCTGATGAATTTAGAGATAGAGTCAAAGTATGGTATGTTGTTGAGAAGGGAAGTGAAGGTTGGCAATACGACACCGGATTTATAACTGAGTCCATTCTCAGAGATCACGTGCCGGCAGTTGGGGATGATGTCTTGGCTCTCACGTGTGGGCCTCCTCCTATGATCCAGTTTGCAGTTCAACCCAATTTGGATAAGATGGGTTATGATATTAAGGAACAGTTGTTGATCTTTTAAGCTTAGCTTTTGAGAAGTTTTAGTACAGTAAATGGGAAGATCATTTACTATACATTCGATCGGACATTAATTGTATGCCCGAACATTTGGTACTTGCGTATTGGGCGCCGACGTATGTGATGCAATGTGCGCATATATATATATTATTCACTCGCCGGCACATGATGCATGTAAAGCCTGTGTTATGCACACGCTGTAGCGGGTGTACCTTCGGATGTATAGTAGAATTCTATTACATTGAGTATATGAACATTATATTCTAAATATGTAATGTAATTTGTGGAGCATGTACTTCTGTTTTTTTTTTTTTTTTTTTCCCTAATTTTTTGTACATATAAGCGCTCCATTAGATTGTTTGTCGAGAAGTGTTTTTTTCTTTTGGAAAATTGGTTTATGGAGGATGAAGTAGATGGAAGAAAGTCAAGTAAGTAGGCAATGTGTCTTTTTTTTTTTTTTTTTTTCCCACTTTGTGGTACGGTGTCTGTGTATGGGAGATTACTACTCTGTAATCTCCAAACCATATTGTACTATTATTTGTCTTTGCCCCGCAATAAATGGGCAGTAAATTCTTGTATAAATGCTTCGTGAATTTTTTTTTCTTCATTAGTTAGAGATTTAATTTATTTAACCTTCTTTGCTAAAAAGCTTTATCAAACAACTTCAATTGAGTGAATCGTGAAAATCATTGTTTTGACTGTTGGTCTAGCTTAGTGAACAATATTCACTAAGCTAGACCAAAAAAATTAATATTCGTTGTTGGGTACTCGTAATAATATTCGTTGCTCCATAATTACCCCATTAACCAAAAAAATGAGTATTTTGGTCAAATTCTGGGTCTAATCAAATAAAATAGGACATACTCGTATTGAGAAGATGCTTACATTGACTGAGTTTTAAGTGGGATGCAAGGTTGGCCGGCAATAACCGGCATAATGGAACATTGCCAACGCCAAAGTATGCAATCTCTTATTGGGACTTGGATGCAAATTGCTATGTAAAATCGAAAATAGTTTCACCATTGATTGAAATTGCTAGCTATTCTTCTGCTTGTGTCAAGCTTAGGGTTTGATTGGTACGAGTACGACTAACTTCCTCGCAAGAAAAAGACAAAAGAGTGACATACATAATACAGACAACAACATAAACAAGGTATTAAGTTGATAGAATACTATAAACCATGCATTACCAAAGAAAGTCATTCATACATACTAGTAATTAAAAAAATTAGAGTATTGTTTTATACGGAAGTCCATGCCGTACAATTAATATAATGACGGAAGGTACCAAAGCTCAAAACCAATCAAGAATGTTTACTTCTACTTCAATCCTTCGAAGTGATTTACGTACGTACATAATTAGATTGACCTTCAATTTTTTAATTTCTACATCCAAGGCCTGTGACTTGACTAATGAGATTGAATATTCTATGATTCCTTATTTTACTTGTACACTTTTGGAGCTTACTTATCTCTTGTTTTAAGTCGTATGTACAGATTAACATATGTAAACTATTAGAGAGCATAATCTTAGACTCAGAAGCGATCTCAAATGAAACTACACATATATGTATAGTAGCGTGGTAAACAAAACAAAATCAGGAATCTTAAAACTTGATTCAAATAAAGTCATATTTCACAAGTCATGATCTTAACAATCTTGTTTTTTAAAGTATACATTTTAACTGAATAACATCAAACAAACTTTTTTTAACATTGATCTTAAAAATAGAATAACTTAAAGTTATCAAATTTAGAATAATACTTCTAACAATTTTTTTTTTCTTTATTTCCAATTTTCACATAGATACTAAATTCACTCAATACTCTTTTTAACGAGTAAATTCTCTCAATATCTTAATATAAGTAGTTAATAATGAAATATATTATCATTACACATGTGCAATCCTAATTTAGTGGAATAATTCAACGATTTAAAAATTTCTAAAGTAACTTTTTGGTGCAAGGACACTTAAACAGTCATAAAGAGTTTGCATAGTACTCGTTCAAGTTTATATCGAATATCATATACAAGTAAGTTCATTAATAAGTACACAGATATGTTGTACACAATATGTTAGATATTCATTGAATTGAATTGTCCTCTACGAACGAACCAACACAATTTATCTGGTATATAAATGGGTTGTAATCCTAATTTACAAGTAAGCACTTACTATATCATAGTCAACTATGTCAGCTATGCTAAATTGCTACTCCGTAATAATGTTATCAATTCATAATTAGAGGAGAAAAGGAGGACGATGCTCCCTAAATAATTTAGCATGTCCTTTTCAAATTAAATATAAGTGTAAATATGTCAGAAAATATATAAATTCATTGGTTGTCAATAATTTGTACTCGTATTTTGTGAAGCAGACAAATGACAATCAATTTTGTGTAATAAATTAAGAACGACTTTATTAATTAATTAGTGGTCATCATTTCTTTCATCTCCAACTCGTATTAAATTTCTTGCAGTATCTTCTCATATAAAAATTGTGTATGAGGAATATCAAGGAGTCACAATCGAAGGTGGAGATGGTTGGTTTGAGATGAGATAATAATTGAGACGTAATCTACATGATTACCTCTCTAGTGTAGCTAATTTAATTAACCCACATCAATATAATATAATGGTACTTAATTGGCTTGTTACACCTCATTGCTCTATTCATGACAATATCCTTATATAGTTCAAGAAATCTTGAATACTTTCCATATATTGAAAAATAAAACAGGTTAGTGTGCTCTAAAGTTAGACATGAAGAAAGCATATGACAGGATTGAATGAGACTTTTTATGGGAAGCCCTTTCAGCCTTTGGCTTTCCCTCCAAGTGGATCCACTAGATCCGCGAGTGCGTGACCAAAGTTTCTTATTCACTTAAGATAAACGGTGAGACTACCGAATGGTTTAAGCCCACAAGAGGTTTAAGACAAGGTGACCCCTTATCACCTTGTCTTTTTATATTTTGCATGGAGGTTCTTATAAGGAAATTATCTCTAGAAAGTAAGAATCGCAAATCTAGAATAGGCTTTAAAATTACACCTCGGTCTTTTAATATTCCTTGTCTTCTTTTTGCAGATGATAGTCTTGTCCTCTGTAAAGCCACTTCTTCTGCCTGCAATAACCTAAAAGGGATACTTGATGAATTTTGTAGTATGTCAGGGCAACTTGTTAATTTTCACAAGTCCTCAATTATTTTTTCCTGACAAATTGAAAATACGCGACGTCCAAGCTTTGCAGCCCAATTTAACATGACACCAAATTCATTGCTCGGACATTACTTGGGAGTCTTTTTTAGCTCTTATTATCCTTTGAAAAGGGATTTCAAAAAAGTAATTGATCGACAACATGCAAAATAGAATACAACAATGGGAAGCTGGCTACTGATTAGAGGATTTTGCTCCCACTAATCGGAATGCGCCACGTGGGCCAATCAGGTCCTGCCAAGTGTCCCCCAGTTGGACCTCTCAGGGCTTGTCACGTGGCACACGCTTATTCGTCCACCCTGGACTTATTATGTCATGACACGTGGCATACTCCATGCCTAATGGAGAAGCCGGTCACCTAGGCCCAACTTCCGAGGGAAGCCCAATCAGCCCAAGGTTAACCTAAACCTAGATTGGCACGTTTCCCGAGGTTATAAATACCTCCCTTAATTCTCATTAAGGGAGAGGACGCAAAAAAACGCAGATTACACACATTAAACACTCTCACCTAGAGAGACCCAATCACTTTAATTTCCGCATTAATTACTCCTTAATCAAGTACTAACTTGACCGTTGGAGGCGGAGCTCCCACCACAAGGAGTCTCCGTTGTTTTGCAGGTACAGGCGTCCGGTTCCAGTCTCGGAATTGTAACTCTCCCGCAGGACATCAGAAAACCCCGAAACATTTTGGCGTCGTCTGTGGGGAGAGTACTTCTGAGATGGCACCCACGTTTGTACCGGCTCCTGAAGAGAGACGTCCCCTGGACGATCCTCTAGTTCAGTCGGACCGCGATACTGAGAATGAATTTGAAGTTGAAGCTCACACAGCTTCAGACGGGACCCTAAGGGCCCGACGTACCCGTCATACCGAAAGGAGGGAACGGGAACATCTTCAAACTGGAAGCGAGCCAGCAGGCGCACCGCCTGTTCGGCAGCAGCCGACTGATGGGTCTGCTCCCATCACAAGGGACGAACTCATGACCTTCATGAGGGACTTCAAGGGAGAAATTCAAGAGTTGATCAACAAGAAGCCGCCTGCTCTGGACAAGGAGCAGTCGGCTAAGAAACCCTCCACTTCACGGAAGAGGAAGCCAGTTCAAGGGCGAGAGGCGACCCCTCATCCTAAATCTAGGAAGTGGGAGCCACCTGCCCTTGATTTCTCAAAATACCGTTTTCCTACTCCAGGAAATAGGAAACCTGTTCGTCATATTCAGGCGGACGGGTCGAGGAAAACATACACAGACGCTCGGCTACTGCTAGAGCAGAAGAAGAGTGACCGATTGTCAGAGTCGGCCTCTACTTCAAACTTCCAAGACAGTCTGCAAAATACCTCGATGAGGCATACTCAGTCGTATCATGAGGGTCAGTCAGGCGGCACCTCCCGTCAGTCCGGCTTTCATAGCGACCAGGCGGTACCAAACTTACCGTTTGTACCGCAACAACAATATTTTTTACAGCCACCTCCGTTTGGTGGACATGCAGCAAAAAATGTCCAACCTATGGACTGGCAGCTACGGTTGCTTAGACTTGGTGAACAGCCGTCGGCCTTCTCCAAGGAAATTACTGAAGCCGCTCAGCCGGCCAAAGTGAAAAATGTATTAGTAGGTGCCTATGACGGCACTACTAACCCAGAAGACCATCTGATGGCATTCACCAACCTGATGTACCTTCAAGGGTTGGATGATCCCACTTAGTGCAAGTGTTTCCCAGCGACTCTCAAAGGAATCGCACAACAATGGTTCGGCAACCTGCCGACTGGTTGTGTAAATAACTTCAAGACGCTTGCTTACTTATTCACCTCCAACTTCGCCATGAACATCCCTGCGAAGAAGACGACCCTTGATTTAGGAACAATTCAGCAGGGCGAGAAGGAGGGGCTTCGTTCTTACATCAGGCGGTTTAACCTGATGAGAATACAGATTCAAGGGTTACCGGATGAAGTAGCCTATACTGACTTTTTCAGAGGTCTCAAAGACGGGTCGGCCTTCAAATTTGATTTGGTCCGAAAGAGGGTGGCGACTCTTCAAGAGGCCTTGATTGAAGCGGAAGCCTATATACAGGCGTCTGATCTTTGTAGTACGGTAAAACAGTCAGACGGGAGAAGGTCCGACAAAAGAGAAGGACAACAGAAACAGTCGTCAAACAAAGATGAGAAGAGAAAAGAGGTCTGGGCGGCTGATTCCTCTAAACAGCCGGCCCAGAAGAAGAAAAAAGAATTCAAACCATACTCCCCAAAGTATGCGTTTAACAAGGATAACCAATTTATCCTAAAGGAAATCAAGGGACGGATCTCAATTGAGAAGCCGGTCCCCATGAAGGGTTCTGCAAACAATCGGAACCAAGAAAAATTCTGTGATTATCATGAAGA